AGCCATCCCACCGCCAACCTATTTTTCGGCCACCCCACGGGTGCGTGTCGCCATCTATTGGTTGAACTAACGCCTTGTTCAAGATGGCTGCCGTGGGACCGCAGCCTTAAAACCGAGCCGTTTATAACTTCGTGGTATTCGTCAAAGTGGCGAGTTGATAACAAGTTTTGGAATCTTTGGAAGCTTCCGTTTTTTATGTGTAGGACAATATATATTCTCTAAAGTGCAATCCAAACGACGAGGAGGAGGGCATACAAACGTTTTAACTCTAAAAAAGTGACAGGTTGCTCAGACGAAAAATGATTTATAGATTTGTTCGGCAAAATGCAGGCGATCCTTCGCCATGTTCTGTATTATGATCGGGAAAAAAAACGACTACACAACATACTTTTAATTAGGCTATGAGCAGTTCTTACTCTCTGGATGCGCCACGTAAATAGCATAATTATTACGAGAACCGGAGACCTCGTGTTTTTGTATAGTGCAAGTTCACCAGCTGTCCTGTTTCTTCACTGACGTTTTTGTAAATGACATACCTGGTGATAGAGGATATTTCCTACCTGAATTTAGAATGAGGAAAACGGTGCCTTCCGAGATTAAAATAGAGCAGATAATGGCAGATCCCGTCGACTGGTTTGGCATACTTCGCCACCGACAATTGCTTTTGGGGTTGAATATGCAAATATGGGTTTGGTTATGTTTTGATTCAGTAAATTGAAAATAAGCCTATATACTGAATAATATTCGACCTTTACCGCTGCACAGGAATCACAGATGTTGTGACTTGTAGCGGACTCATTCCGATGAGTGAAATCAGTTTAAGGTTTTTCAATATATAGGCACACGACAAATGAATAACAACAATTACAATAATAATAATAATAATAATAATATTAAAAAATCACTAATAATAATAATATTATTAATATTAACGATGATGATGATGACGATACTGATAATGGTGCTGGTGATACGGTAATAACACTAATAATAGTAATAATAAAAATAATAAAAATAGTTTCTTTCTCATGAAAGTGATGAAGGGGAGACTGGAGAAAAAAGCTGAAAGAAACAGCTCGACTAGCCTCCGGACCCTAGAATGACAAAACAGACGGCAGGCACCAAGAGAAACAATGTAAAAATGAAAACATGGAAAAAACGGTCAATTATGAACGTATTTTTAGCATGAACTGTATAAACTTTGCAGTTGTTCAGCTACGGTTGAAATCGCTATTTGTAAAGCTGTAATTACGGTAGGGTGTATACGAGTATTTGTTTACCATTATTTGTTCTCCGAGGGACATTCAGTGTAACATTCAGTGGACATTCAGGGGACATTCAGGGACATTCAGCGCAACATCCAGTGTGACGAGTAGGATATGCCTGAATGTTTTTGGCCAGTGTTGAAACGTCAGCTCGAAAGGGAGAATTTCTTTTTATTCGTTTTTTAAACTAACGCTCAACCTGTCTTTGAACAGATTTTGTGCAGAACAAATCAGCAGTTTGAGAGTCATACGAAATGTGACATATAGTTGTGATTTTTTTCTTTTGGAGTGAAAATATCTTATCTAAATTTGTTGAAGTAGTCGTGATCCATACTAGGCGACGATAGTTTAAGTTTACGAGCAAAAAAAAAAGGAAGTTGCAGATAAGTAATCGTACAGAAATCGGCAAGACGGAGGGTAGAACAACCCGACGATGAAAAATAACTTTTTGGTGGCCTGATTTCTTTGGTCGTCCCAAAACACGTTTTCAGAAAAAAGTAACACTGGGTGTTTTAAAAGAATACGCAATGTTAGTAGGCATCGTATTTAAGGTAAGGCTGGCATTGTACGATACATGTTTATTTTAAGGACGAAATATAACGGCTTTTGTTCTACTTTGAGCTTTCATTTCTCATGAACTTAATTTGGGCAATGTATTATTAACGAGACATATAACTAAATTTGGTTCACCGGTTGAAAAAATAGGCTCGTTTCGTCAGCTTACATAACGAGTTTTTCTTTTTTCATCCTTATTAACTATATCATTCACATATATGTTGAATAGGAACGGACCTAATATGCTGCTCTGGTGAACACCAGAAGGAATTGGTTTGATTGTAGAAGAAAAACAGCGTAAACGAACATGTTGCCTATGTTTTAAGTACGAACTCAAAACTGTGGGCGCACAGCAGCGAAAACAATAACGTTCAAGTTTTTATAGTAGGATACTACGGCTTAAACATCGGTTCGGTCACGAGCATCTATGCGGAGGGCAAGTTCGTCTGCTCCTCGCGCAGGGGGTAGCGGTGACGTCAGAACGCCGAGCCCTGATTGGCTGATCGCGACCCCCTATCTGGGCGTCGTCTGCTCCTTTGCAACGTCGTCTGCTCGCAACATCGTCTGCGTCTGTCTTACCTTTCCTGCGACTTTCGGTAGTGCAGAGGCCAGACGCTAGGTTCACAAAACGATCTTACGCCAAAAATATGCGTAAGACAAATCTTGATAACAAATTCGTATTCACGAAACGAAATTTTCGTAAGTTTTGCGCAGGTTACGGCGAAATCCTACGACAACTCCGAAGCTGTCTTACGCACTTCTTACGACCAAATCAGCATGGCCGACAGCGTCGCGGTCGCGACGACCAACGGACGTTTATTTTTCTACGTGCGCTTCTCAAGCGTCCCGACTTCAAGCCGCGAGATAAAAGTAAAAAGTATTTGAAACCGACCACGACGAACAAGAACGCTGGATCCACAAACACTCGGGAAAAGCACCAACGGCCACGATTCCCCCGACAACGACCAAGCGAGCACGGCAGATAGGCCTAGCAGGCACTCCGACTCGGCGACCGTCTGCCCACGACCGGCTGGCGTGCTGAATGGAATATGCCCGCGTGACCCTTGTGAACCCTTCCCGTCTTATACCTTGATCGGTGACCTCAATTTTAGATTAAGAGGGTAATCTCTTCCTCTTGTCATCTCCTTGTTTTCCGAGGCAACGGTGACTCTCGCCGGTAATAAAGTGGTGAATCTCCGACAGACGCAGGAAAGGTAAAGCATCCATCGCTTTGACTAGCGGACGTAAAGCAGACAACGTTAACTGCGCCAACCCGCCGACGCCGTTAAAGAGTGAGGAGTCTCGCCGTACACGAAAGGAGGGAAAAAGTATTTGGGAGAGAACTTGCGGACACTAACCACCCTCACTCTCGGTTCTTAGCAAACAAACCTCGGCGCCTCGGGACACCTCGCCAGTGAGTCCTTTGACTTCTCCCCTTGACGCGCGTCTGCTACTTGTTATGCAAAACAACGTACCGCTCGAGTTATTTCGTCTGCCCTCTCTGAAAGGCGAAGTCGAGCTCGCTCGTAAAGACCTGCACTTCCGAAAGTCGCAGGAAAGGTAAGACAGACGCAGACGACGTTGCGAGCAGAGGACGTTGCAAAGCAGCAGACGACGCTGAGATAGGGGGTCGCGATCAGCCAATCAGGGCTCGGCGTTCTGACGTCACCGCTACTTCCTTTCTCATGCGCAAAAGACGAAAATGAGCCCACTTGCGAGGCGTATAGCTTCGAGCGGCGATTTGTCTCGACTACAAAATAATATGAACGTGATCTAAAGGCGGCCTATGTGATTTTATATTGCAATTTAAGTACACTGCGTGGCACAGTTATAGCGAGCAAGACATGGACACCCTTTTGGACGCTGCTGATAAATGGTGGTGACGAAAACCCAAATCGACTACGGATGGTAATGCCAACCATAAGCTTATTTGCTCATATTATTAGTTTAAATGACAGCGTTCACATTTGATCAAGGAGCAAGAAAAATCGCCGGTGGCATGTTTCTGCTAACAGAGTCACTCTTATCAGGTCACTAATTACTTCCCTAAAATGATAAAAAAATACAGGCAATTTCAGGCGAAGGCCAACAAAATATTTATGAATGTAACGACACTCGTTTGAAATTACTTTGTAATAACTCATTACCAGGGTGAAGCAATTGTTTCCTCTTAACAGCATACGTAGCAGAAAACAGCAAGGTATTGTTTTAACCTGATTCAAGTGTTGGCGATTTGAAGTTGCATATTTTCTGGCCCTAAACTGATTGGGTTTTGCCCTTAAAACAAGTATACAACTCTGTAGGTGTACGCTTTATTCTACGCATTATTGTACCGTAATGACGGAATAGATTAAACACTATCGAGTCGATCCCCACATTTCCTGTTCCTGTATTAAAATTAAGCTTTTTCATCCCTTCTCTTAAGCTATTTTCAAGTAGATAGAGCTTAAATAATCGCTTGAATGCTATCAAGAATAAGAAATTGACTAGTTTTACTAAAATTAAACGAATTCAAGAACTAAATAGATTACAAACTGAAATCCGAAGTAAAGTCACATTTATGGTAATCAAAGGGACAAAATTACATAAATTCAGTAATTTTATTACTGTGACGTTATCACTGCCGCACTGAACAACGTTATCATCTACAATGAATTGTGATCCCGCGGCTATAAGAAAAGTTATGTTTCTTGAGTGTCGTTTCCTTTCAACATTCAAGCGAACACTTTCATTCCAACGCAATACGCGCCGTGAATTTATTTTGAAGGAGGAAAACAACTAGTCGCGATCATCAAATATTTTTTTTTTTGTTTAATGTGAGCATTACTCATTTTAGCACAGGATATTCCTCCTTGACTCTGCCATAACAGGGATCGGGGTCGAACGACGAAAGTCTGTGAGACGTGAAGATATTTGCTACTGCATATGACGCACCTATAAAATTTTTTATGCCACTTGCGTTGTATAAATTTTGCTGTAATAGGGATGGGGTAGCCTGCCAGATCCTTAAGTCGACGCGAGTTACGAGCGTTGATTGAGATTGAATTCGCGAGCGAGCGATGACACGGCAACACGTGCGGTAGCATCGAGTGTCCGTGTTCCTCGCTTTCGTTGAATCCACAGCCATCGAGCTGTCGTCGAAGATCGGAATGCTCACGCATTCAACGACGTTTTCTGCAGATGCGTGTCGTAACACGAGCTGCGTCCAGGGACCGGAATTGAAAGGAATCGCCAGGGAAGTAGCCGAGTGCAAGCCATGAAAGACGCAGAGAAATGTGCGGAGGACACCACGGCGCCTTCAAGAATGCCGAGTCATGGCCCAGACAGCATTCACAGCTGGATGACGGCGGGTAAGTCACCCGACTATTTCACTCTTTCGACGCCAGCATTTCAAAATGGGGGACAGCTTGCCAATCCAAATGTACAACGTGCACGTCTCACCTCCCCCGACAAACAGCTTAAAAAAAAAAAAATAAATAAAAAAAAATCCATCAAGAACACAACAAAAATAACGATAGTAATTTTTTTCAAGTTTTTTGTTATTGCAAATATAAATTGCGAATTCCCGAACAGTCATCCTCCGCCGCAATATATCGCTATGGGGCGAAGCAGATGTCAGTTTCATAATTATCCGTTATCTCAATCAAAAGTAGTGTTATTTTCTGAAGATTGCATTGGGGGGAGAATGGGGCCCGTTTTCGTCCAATTTTGGTAATTGGCACAATTCAGCTCCTTGTAGTCACGATCTCAGTCGGCCTCCATTTTCCAATGAGAAATTTCAGAACATTGGTTATATTGCTTCATTTGGACGAAGGATGGGCATTCGGCGATGCGGGGTATCTAATTGAGGGGAAAAGAACCCAGTAAATTGTTGTGTGGTACACCCCGTAGATATAGCGTGGTGTGTAAGGCATGGCATAACAGTTATACTCCCTCCGACGTTCAGCGCACAGAACTTTGCGCCCCATAGGAGCGCATGCAAAGGGAAGTAGCGGCAATGCAAGGAGATCCGAGCCCGGAAAGGGGGCGCTTATGACAGGTGGATACGCGTTCCGTGCGCTCTCCTTGACGGTCGTTATGCACTTTGATTTGTGAGCCACTCCTTGTGGTCTGATCCGCCAAAGACGCTTTTTCGAACATTTGCTCGTCGTAGAGCATACTGCAATTCCATGAGGATAAAATACACATAATTCCCTTTATGCTAAACCAGGTCATACAGAACCCTTTATATCATATGCCTCCGAAGATCAAAGACACTCCTCGTTCATACCTGCTTATCATACAAGACTGCAATAAACGTCTTAGAAAAAAAAAAATAATTGACCACCGTGTGCAGTTGGAAATCCGGTTCTAATTCGTGCATAGGCTTTACGGGTTGCGTGGTTTTTTGCATCATTAAATTAGCATTTAATGTTCTTAATGCGTCGCTTTCTTTTCATTGTTTTGCGAATCGTTTAAAAGGAGACTTCAGAAAAAGACAAACTATATACCGTAAAAAAGTGGCAGAAAATCGCTCGTATTCCGATTATAATTCCAAAAGGAAAGCAATGACAGCACCTATCTCTATCCTGGCTTAATAATGATCCACCTCGCTTGCGTCAAGATAACTTGTTATGACCAGGTTTATGACGAAGGACCGGCTATTGCGCAACACGTGAATTGCAAGCTGGTTCTTACTTTTTAGGATGCGTGGCGGTGTGTCTAGAGTCTAGACAAGTATCACTGATCACACACAAAAAAAAAAACCTACAAAAAGGAAGATTTCACATACTTCAAGAATATTGCACTCTTTTAAGAAAAACTTAAAATGTTTCTAAATCAAAAGTTATGAACTTTCGCGCTCATAGTGTCGCGAATCAGGCGAATTGTAAAGCGGACAAGTTGTTCAAGCATTGCGAAGGTTCTCACTTTTACAATCAAACGTGAGGCGTTGTCTAAGTGACGAATGATGAGGTTGTATATATTTTGTCCTGTTTTAAAGATATTGGTTTAGAAATTGTCTTTAAAGAAGCTGAGCTTCAATAGAATGGCTTTCCCACACTGGTCAGCAAGATTACGCGTAACGTAATTTAATTATTTGCATGCGCATACACCAACTCTTCAGAATCATATTATATTGAAGGATAGTTCTTTTTATCATGCCGATACCGACATAAAAGCTTCGATTTCAATTATGGTGTCTGGAAAGCGTCTCTGACTCATGTGTTTAACGCGTCCTCAAACATGGTTTCTCGATTTCCGCCTGATGAAGTCATAAAATCGTCTTGCCGTTGCTTGCGGCGATCCTGGTGGTGGCGCAGCCGCGTCGGTGGCTGCGGCAGGTTCTGCTGCAGGCCCCTTCCCTACTTGACAGCAAACTTCAGCAGCCTAGAGTTGGGACACCGTGATGACAACGACCCTCTCGTTCGCTCGCACGTTTGGCCGGAACTTCTTCAAATGACCGCGAGGATCCCGACATCCTTCAACTTGCCATGCCGGCTGCCGTTACGTTATTTGTGGCCACTTCGCAACTTTCGATGCATGGGCTGTATAGGACACGAAACACAATAGTCAAAAACATGTTTAGGGCAACGTGTTTCAACCAGATACGGTATAGTTGGCTAACGGGCCCTAGATTTTAGATCTCAAATGCCCTAAATAAGACGTGTACACGATGATAGCCAGCCCCACCTCCAACCCCTTCTCCCTCCCAACTTTACTACTGAATATCGTTCGTGAGTCGATGCTCCTTTTGGCCTCTTGGCCGGACTGTGGCTAGAAAAAGTTGCCCCTTGACGCTACGATAGGCGTACCATATTGATTTACAGTTTTTAGGGGCGAAGCTCCTTAGGGTCTAGCCTTGCCCATCCGTCCGGCGTCCGTGCTCACATCAATTGTACTGCCACGAAAATCGGCCCAACTAAAAGAAAAACAAAAAAAAAACGTGCTTAGGAACGCTTGCCTACGAGGCAGACGTCTTAACCATTACGCTACACTCCATTTTTTTTTTCTTTATTGCCTGGTTAGACATTGAAACGCTATAACACAAAAACAAAACTCACACTTGTGAAAATGTTAAAAGCGCGTGAAACTTTGAACCTACATTTAAAAGCGTTTTACACAGACCAATTCATCTAATAAGGATACCCAGTCTGGGGGTTCTTGCAACGCGCGATAGACTTCCCGTATGTACTCGGCACCTTCAATTAAATGGTCTTCAGCGGGGCGTGCCTTGACATCTGCATTGTTCACTTCCGTCGTCGTCCTCCAGAGGACTACGCTACACTCCAACGTTGCATGTAGCCGCTCAACGTCTATACAGGAGAGGGCGCTGCGGTCAAATGCGTATATAATCGCCTTAAACTTTGCATGCATTGGCTCAACGTTTATAGACGAGAGGGCGCTGCGGTCAAATGCTCAACTGCGTATATAACCTCGATCCATACCACACATTCTCTTTCTGACATGGACCGTTGACTTAAGCGGTGGAGATGCGTTTCCATGGCTTCTAGCGGATCCAAGCTGATCCGCTAGAAGAACCACTGGCTCTGCATTTCACCGACCATAAAGCAGTAATAATGAAGTCAAAACGCAACCCGGAACTCAGCACTACCTATGAGCAATAAAAAAAAAAATCAGCACCATCAGCACTATTTATGAACAATAAAATCAGTATCATCCGCATCACCAGAACTTCGCCCCAATCAACATCATTCACCACGTGGAGATGCGGCCTCTCTTTTTTTTTTTTGTTGCAGGCACCCATTTAGGGGCTGAACATATGTCTAACTTCTCTAAATGCTCCCCCTTGAGCCAAATTCCCTCGCATGTGTGGCAGCCTCTCCATGGCCTGCGGGAACCACCTTTTCGAAACGCCTCACTTCCAAAACTGGACAGCTGCTTTCAGCTTAGCAGTAACCGCGGAATGGCGTCCTCGCAGTTTTTTTTTTCACAACCCCAAAAGATGATAACCACTGCGAGCCTAATAAGGCCATATCCATGCACGACCAAACGTCTGACTGGTGTCTGAAAGACGGCCGAACTCGATCAGGCGCCGGTCAATCACTGCGCATTGCATCGTGTGCTTTCGCGTGAGGCCATGATTGGCCGCCATTTGATCGAGTTCGGCCGTTTTTTGGCATGGCGGACGATCAGTTAGACGTTTGGTAGCGCATCAGTATGGCCTGATCAGGCCGCCAATGTTGATGACCTGTTGGGCGCAATAAAAAAAACAAGCCTGCAAGGACGCCATTATGTGGTATTTAATGAACTGGAAGCAGCTGTCCACGCGTGAGTGTGAGGCACCCCCAAAAAGAGGTACCAGCAGGCTCTGAGAGGCTGTCACACAGGTGGCCCGTCGATAAGTTGGACAGATGTAAAGATCTGTAAGTGGACGGTATATCGGTATATGTTGAAAAAATAAATGAACTATAAATCGGTATGGCACGCCACTCACAAAAGCAAATAGGGTTTTCATATGGTAGATAACAATTTCTATAGGTATATTGTGTTCATTATTTTTGTTATTTTTCTATAGAATTCTGTTTGTTATGAAAGTTCAAATAGAATAAATCCTTTTTACAAAACTCTGATAGAGCATGTAGCGCTAAGGAACGTTCTAGTATCCTACCACGACATGTCTAATAAGGTTTATATAAGATTTCTTTTTTTTTTTTTTGCGTGTTCGATTTAGTTTGCCGATTTATTTTGCAACCGGCATAAAATTGCTAGAAATAAAAACAAAAGAAAATATTTAGCAAACTAATGTTTTGTAAACAAAAAGGGAACACTAAATATTACGAAATTAATAAACACGTGTTGAGTTTTCCCCGAAATAACCCCAATACTCTCGCTAATATTTTGTGTTCGAGGTTGGGTGACATGTTCTTGTTTCATTTCTCTCAGCGGCATGTGCGCTTGCGACGTTCTTCGGCGTCGGAGGCAGGCGATCGGCCGGGTTCTTGTACGTTTCCATCCTGGACACCTTCCACACGACTCGAAGCCAGGCGTCTTGGCCGGTCGTACTCATGGGCGGAGTCCTCCTACTGGCCGGTAAGAGAGAAGGTGTTCTTTAGGACTCTTCAAAAGGAGATTTTATTTATTAATTTATTCATTCGAATACCTACATCGCCCAAATCTGGGCATTATTATAAAGGGGGTAAGGCAGTACAAAACAATGGCAAACGATACATAGAGAGATACACAAGAACTATCGTGATGCAGAAATATTGGATATGACATCTTAAGAGAAAAATACAACATACAACATTCTGTACAATATATGAAAACAATGTATAGTGACTGGGACTATTAGAAGGGCAAAGTGAAAAATTATTCAAACAGCAAGTTTTTAGGGCAGTAGGAAAGGAGGAAGGAGCCGCAGAGATGACTTCAGTTGGTAAATTGTTCCATTCGTGTATTGTTCGTGGAAAAAACGAGTGCTTGGAAACGTTAATTCTGCATCTATATTCTCGTACTTTTAAATGATGATCTGTACCGGGCGACACATAACTGGGCTCCTTAATATAACGTTCTTTCTCGATGCCAGTCCTACCGTTTAGAATGTTGAAAAATAAAGTGAGCCTAAGGTACCTTCGTCTGTCTTCCAACAGAGGCCATCCCAGGTTGCGGCGTATTTCAGATGATCTTATAGAGAAATCATAATTGCCGGAGACAAACCGAGCTGCCCGTTTCTGAATACGTTCGAGTTGTTCAATAGTGTGACGGGTATGCAAATCCCATGCGCAGATGCATATTCCATTGGGTCCCAGTGCCTGACTTGTGCGAAAGATGCCAGATGACCGCCGAACTTCCACCAGCGATGCATAAATCTTAGCCTTTCTTGTCAATTTTGGAATAAATGTGCCACATAAAATCCGAACAAACACAGTGAATCCTAACTTTGGCTCATGTTTGGCTATTTAGGATCAAGACTGCTAGGTGACGGCCAAACTACCAGCAGCGAAGAACATATCTTGCACTGCTTTGTCAATCGTGGCCCAAAGTTGCCACATAGAAAAAAAAATGTGAAGCTTAGTTTAGGCACTTGTATTTAAATTTAGGAGGCCAGATATGCCAAATAACAGTCAAACTATCCTCAATGAATCCTAACTTTGCATTTGTTGGGCGAATTAGTACCTGGATACCCAGACTCTGGACAAAGAACGTTTGACCCCACCTTTGCTTTTTCGCATCTTGTTTAAAGTCCTGAATTCCAGGACAAAAAAAGTGTTGGACTCAAGAACTGCAATTCCTCGGATACTACAGACTTTTACAATAACCGCTCCCTGCGCGCCGCCATCATTACCTGCGGAGCTGTGGAACTTGTTCTGAGCATGCGCAGTAGTTCCTTTCTCCCGAAAATCAGACGCCGCGCATGCGTCCACAGCCCAGCAATTCGTCTTTTTTAGCTTTGAGGAGAAGCAACGGAGAGGTGTATTGCAGCCAAGAATCCAAACGTTCTCTGCTGCAACCACCGCACAGTGTTGCGAACGTGACTATAGTGTGTACCAAAGACAACAAACTGCAACAGACAAAGTGCAGCGTCCATGTTATTAGAGCGCAGCGATTTTGGATTGTATTTTTTGTATTTATATACAGATTCTCTTAGGGCCCCAGGGGCGTTACGGAGGGGAGTGGTTGGTTACTGCGAGGCGAAGCTCACGGTTATTGGTCATATTGACGATGTCATCAGGAAGGCCGTTCCAGTCTGCGACATATTGGGGTAGAAGTAAATGCTGATAGGCTATGGACTTGGTCTTGGGATGGGCGATATTGTATGAATGGTCCAGTCTTAAAGAAATAGGTGAATGGGCTAAGAAGTGTCTATTTTAGAATTCAAGGAAGAATGTGAAAAACGCCGTATTTTAATCCCTAAATAGCAAACAGCGCGCTAAGAGTATGCTGACCAGTAAAACCCATAGACTTCGTGTAGAGGCGTTTAACGATATAAATAAATACTGCAAATAATGCTTGCAGCGCCGCAGTGCTGGGCAGCTGTTGAGGGGTATATAGGTAGCGGTTTCAACATATTAAAGGCCGAACACAGCCCCGAGGCAATAGGAAATCACATAGCGGTCAATCGGCAATCATTTCAAGACTTCATGTGGTCTACTTCGTTACAACGTCAAGTAATGCATACGCGAGCGAAATAAAAACCCTTTGTTTCAGGTCTCATTTCAGGTCCGCTGGCTCACAAATTCACAGCGAGGCCTGTGGCGCTCGTGGGAGGCTTCATCTCCGCGCTCGGGTTGATGCTCTGCTTCTTTGCCACCAGTATTCAGTATCTCGTGGTCACTCTTGGTATAGTTCACGGTAAGTACCCCGGCGTTTCCCAGTGTATACGAGGTCTAAATGTTATTTTAGTTCTAAATATTTTTGGGCGTTCTTTTTTGCGGATCAAAACATAATTATGGAGTTTATGGCTCTTATTCTGAAGACGGAATATGTTACATCCTAAATTCCCAAGCATAAATGCACCATAAGCCAACACATGGATATGAATGAACCTTGCTATGAAATGGGAATATAATTGGGAGAGACTTTGAAAGGCAAAATTTGGTAGAGGCGGAATTTTCACTGTGATTACCCCTCTTCGGGAAGTTAACTTTTTCATCTATTATGCATTCGCGATATCTTGTTTTCAATGATGTTGCATGCTAATATAGGTTTATGATGAATTCAGGTGTAACATTTCCACTGCACTGAATAAGAATAATAACTAGAACTGGGGATTGTCTTGCTTGATATGTGCTGCGGAAGCGTTCCACTACTACAGTGTGCTGCCGAAAAATATTTATAGTCCGGCTTTCATATCAAAAATAAAGTACGAATTGCCAAATGCCCAGTTTCCGCCAAAATTAAACACTACCGCTCTCTACATGATGCCAAGGTTTCAAAACAAACCGTTTTTTTTTGTTTAAAGTTAAAAGAGTTTTACTGAAACCTTCACTGAGGAAAGGGGGCACGTTCTCGCTAGATTGAGCCAATGAACCTGATGCATTCACGGACTTCGTCGACCACCATCTTATAGAATATTTTCGAAAATTTCCTATAACTTTCGAATAAGACAACGATTCATTTTGAAACCTTTGCGTCTGGACTGGACTTTGTATAGACTGGGCTATTCATAGTTTATTTGGGCGATTAAAACACTGTAGGGCGTTCTCAGACAAGATCGAACAACCATGTCCGGTGACCAAACAGATTTCGCTGGCGCCATGCCCAGAAGAATTGAACCGCCCTATTGAAAATTCTCATTTGTATAAAAATTTCTGTGTCCAATGAACAGATATGAATCATACAAGATATATGAGAACATATAAGAACCATATAAGAACTATATAAAAAGTATATAAGAACTATAGGGATATAAGAACATGGAAGCACCATATAAGAAACTTGTGAGGAGTTTCTTATAAGTTTCTTATATGGCTCTTATATATCTTATATCGTTATTATATAGTTCTTATATAGTTCTTATATGGTTCTTATATATCTTGTATGATTCATAAGTGTTTATTGGACACAAATCATTTCTCATACAGATGATTTCTTTCACTAGGGCAATCCTTGTTTTGAAAAGAAAAGAATTATCTTTGCGAAAAACATTTGTAAGCACCCTTTCAGTGACGTCCGCGTTTTGCATATCGCGCGATGCTGGCACTTCGGGCGGCTTCCCCTCAAAAACTGTTGTGGCTACGGGTCTAGTCACATTTACTTACACATTAGACATACGAAGGATTCACAGAAAGTATTAATCACTGACAATTAAGACCGTTATTTTGAGAGACAAAATCGCAAATACGGCATATTGAACAATAACTCTCTGGATTAAAGATTGTTTTACTCTGTATCTATAAAAGCTAAGGTCTTCAAACTTTGGCAGTGTGTTGCCCTGTATAAGTTCATTTGTGCATAAAATATTGTATTCCTGGTTAGCGGGACAAATCTACAACGATTCCTAACATAATCTTTAATAACATAGTGCAATATCTGTGTGGCTTTGAAGTTATAAAGCGAGAAATATGGCTAAATTAATGCTAACGCGGTTGCCATAAATGGGGCGTGCACATAACCGTTCTTCACAATTCACTTATTATTAAAAAGCGTAAAAATGCTACGGGGTGGTCAGGAGAAGACAAACTGTCAGCACAGAGGTTGACGGTAGTTTTGAAAGAAAAATTCCTAATACTTTTTCGTACAACCGACCCAAAAATTCCCGTGGGCCGGAGCGATCGAGTGGCGCCATCCTGTAACATGCTTCGCGGTGCCTGTTTTAACAGCCGGCGTGTAGAGTCTCCGTCTACGCGGCGGAAAGGAAGCATCCGGAGCGACTTTGCAAACAAATCAGCCTACAACCTTGACGATATCATAATATAGGAGGTAAGACGCGACAGAACTTGAACCTGCGCCGCCTGTAAGCGCCAATAGATCCACGCAGTAAAAAAAAAAAAAAAAAAAAAAATACGAACAACGCCCAAAAAATGCTAAAAAAAGAATTCCGATTGAATGAGATTGTCTGTGTTTTAATTTTTATGAAAACAGTTTGGAGAATCGTGAAATCCAACTTGAATATGCTCATGTGACCTACGTCAGTGATTGTGCAGCAGGCCACTTTCAGAACAAAGACCGACTACACGAGTTGCGGAGCAACATGTACACGTCAGCGAAATAGAATTTACCGCAAAAGGACTCGGCAAGAGTGCCTGCGATGAAATCGGGGGTCGTGCCAAGCACCAGGCAGCGTTATACAATCTCCGAGGGCCCACCACGTCGGTGATCAAGTCGGCGTCAGAGATGGTTGCCCCACTGAACACTAAACTGCCGAACGTGAAACTAATCCACGTCCCGAAAGCTGACGTTAAAGCGTTCAGGGACATAAAAGCAAAGAGGTGGGACTCAGTTTCTGTTGTGTGTGGAATTCAGCCTTGTCACTTGAGGCAAAGTACGCGGTCCAACAGTTCGGAAATACAGCTGTTTTAGCAAGAACAGTAGACGCAAAAAATATATATCTTTGAGAGTAAAGTTTCCTATGGCTGGGCGAAAAGCAGATCGAGGTCGCGAGCTTGCGGTGCCGCTGAGAAGAAACGAACATTAACAGCAACAGGCAAACCGTGAAAAGAAAGTTCCTCCTCGGAGTGCCAGGAGAGCGCTGTGACGATTCAGGTCGGTGTCCGGCAGAAAGAATGCACTTGACAAGCGCCGAATGTGCACACAGATTCTTGATTCATTAAACTCGTTTCAATTGTACCACTTTAAACATGCGTTCTTTCTTATCACTATTTAAATATGGTCGTCAACAGCTTAGGCTCCCTACAAAGGGTAGGCTCCCAAATTCACTAATCGGAGAAATTTGTATTTAAATTGTAGAGTTGCGCTTCAAATTCGCGTGTAATCTTTTGTATGAATTTGTATTTTTCACGAACTCATATCACAGTGCTTTCTCCTCACAGACATTCTACATTTTTCATACCCTTTCTTGCCATGCTTGAAATCTGCCAACGTCGTATCTATCTCTACTCCCGTAACGACAATTTTGTATCTTTAGCGATCTGGGAATTCAAAATTAAAAATATTTCAAAGCATTTCTGAAGGGCCTGATGGGACTGATTGTGAGCCTTGTTCTGCGCAAAGTAGAAGAAAGATTAAGGTGAACTTCATTTTAAACTGGTTTCTAATTTTGGAAAATCGGTAACCTGTGTACATGTCAGTGTATTTTTTAGAAAGGTTATCGTTTTCAATTTCAATGAGATTTATGCGAATATAAAAAAGTCGCGTCGAGATCATGTTAAAAAATTTGAATTTCTAGTCTTTTAAGATCCTTATTTATAAAGCTCTCAATTGCTTTGTAATCTATAATACATGTTTGCCTCCTTTTATTTTATGTACAGACTCTGTACAAAAAAAAATATCGACCCTAAGGCGACAACAGTTTTTCTTTTTTAAATATCCAAAGGGACGGTTTCACGCAAGTCGCAAAAACAGACAGCGACTTTGTGATTTTCGTTCCTCAAAAGAAATTTAATTTTCCGAAAAAAGGCTTCTAATATGTTTGTTGCGGTTGCGCAACAAATAAAATAAACTGTCTGGTAAAAAAAAAAAAATGTCTACCGGACATGGATGTTTGATCCTATCTGAAAACGCCCAATACAAACAATCTCAAGCAGTTAATTTTTTTTTTTTTCTGTATTTTTTTTTTTTTTTTTGCTTTGTGCGGACCTCCGGGGCGGCAGATCTATTGGCGTTTGCAGACGGCGCAGGTTTGACGTGCCCTAGCTCCTATATCATGTTGCCACCAAGGTTGTAGGCTGAACTGTTTGCAAAGTCACTGTGGTGGCTTCCTTTACGTTGCGTAGACGGAGAGGCTACATGCCAGCTGTTGAAACACGCACCGCGAAGCATGTTACAGGCTGGCGCACCTCGATCGCTCCGGCCCATGGCCGTCTTTGGGTCGGTTGTGAACGAAAATGTATTAAACATTTTCTCTTCAAAACTACCGTCCAGCTCTGTTCTGTCAATCTGTCTTTTCCTGATCACCGTGTAGCATTTTTACGCTTTTTAATAATACTGAAATTGTGAAGAACGGGTATGTGCACGTCCCATTTATGGCAACCGCGTTAGCACCAATTTGGCTATATTTCTCGCTTTATAACTTAAAAGTTACACGAATATTGCATTATGTTTCTGCAGATTCTGTTACTAGACATTATAAACGTTAATTTCGGAGATTAAAAAAAAAAAAAAAAAAACTAAAGTGGATTTTTTTTAAATGATTTTCAAATCAATGCATATTTAGTGAAATGCCCATACTTCTTGTAAATCCTTCCTATGCCTAATTCGTCAGTAAATATATCTAAACCCGTAGTCACAACAGTTCTTTTTAGAAGCCGCCCGAAATGCCAACATCACGCGATACCCAAAACGCGCACGTGACTGAAAGGGTGCTTACACTTTTTTTTTTTTTTGCAATGACAATCTTTTTTTTTTGTTGTTCCAAGGATTGGCTTTATTTTTCTGGGCATAGAGCCAGGAAATTTTATATTTTCCATCAATATTAAAAATGGTCACCGGACATGGTTTTTCGATTTTATCTAAAAACGCCCTGAATATTTTTTGAGGGACGTTATATATATGCTTACCGTAAATGATTATGTACTCATTTTACCTGTGAGTTTTTATAAATTGCTATTCGGTGTCTTCCTATTGAAAATACGAATATTTTTATATAATTTTTGAATAATCATAATAAAATGTATATGCTACATATGGAGCATATAAGTTTTTATAAGTAATCCTACATTTCTTAGATGTTCATTAAACACATTATACAATTGCTTTTAATATAAGTCATTTTAGATATTTTTAACACATGGGTCACAAAAAAAAATAATTTGTTTCTTCTGTCCTTTTCACAACATATCCCCAGCCTTTACACCCATCGATCATTAATTTTTGACTCTACGACATCTGTTATAACACACGGCTTAAAAATTCTTTTGGTCGGCTCTTTAGTTCCCTTTCCTTAATGAGCTGCATTTTGTTTCAGCCATCGGAAGCGGCATGGTGTTCGTGGTGATCCCGACGGTGATCAACGAACACTTCCTCAAGTACCGGGGTCTGGCCATGGGCATCAACTTCGCGGGTTCCACAATGGGCACCTTCGTTTTCCCCAAGCTCCTCGAGTTCTTCTCGCACCACTACGGATTCCGGGGCGCCCTTCTACTTTTCGGCGCCCTGTCTCTCCACTCCATCGCATTCAGCCTATTTCTGAGACAACCTGTCTGGCTCAAGCGTCATTTGGCCGAACAGGCGGCGCTGGCGGCCAAGAAATTTCCTTTAGAGAAGGAAGACCCGCGCGCCCAGGACGCGGACGTCAAGAAAGCGCCTGTCAACACGGGGTCTTTCCGTCACGGATTGACAGTGTTTTCAAGTCCTATGTTCTACGTGATAATGTACTCATACATCGCGTTCAGTTTTGCCTTTGAGTGCTACATATCATTTTTGCTGGATTTTGCCATTGACCGGGGAGTCCGTGTATCCCACGCCGTCACCCTGCTTTCGGCCAGCTCCATTGCAGATCTTGTCGGGAGGCTGACCTTACCCGCAATGGCGGACGGCAAGATACTGTCACGGAGGACGTTGATCACAGCCAGCTTTATAATGCTGGGAACTCTCTACGTGATGCTTCCGTACGCGATGTCTTACGGTGCCGTGTTCGCGATGGCCACTGGGATAGCCTTCTTCATCGGCACCAGCGTGGTCCTGTTTTCCGTACTCCTCGCCGAATACCTGGGCATCGAGAGAGTGTCCATGGCCTATGGTATGGTGTCAGCTTCGGCGGGAATGACGTCGCTCGGAAAACCTTTTGTTGTTGGTAAGTAAAACCTATGACTCCCTATGGTTATCGGGCGAAGTTTGCCTCATCATTTATGTGCACATACACTGAGTATCCGTTTGAAGAACACCTCATTGTTCTACAATGGATCTTAGCGCTGTAAAACAAGCCAGAAAATAAGCGCCCGCACAATAGAAAGCTTTAATGCTCACCGAATGTGCATTTAGATGGCGCATTTTTCCTGGTGAACCCTTAAAACGTAGCTGCTTTGACAAAAACAATTATACCAAAAACTGGAGAGGGTTAATGGCGGTCGTGTTCGCGGATGACCGAGTTAGCTATAGTTCTAACTAGTGGCACCATCTTCCGATATGTGATGCCAACAGACGGCGTATGCAATTCCGCATATAATGGATTCATCGCTAGATCGAAATAAAGCTGCAAATGTTTATGTTCACGTTTCTTCCTTTGTGAATCGTTCTTTTGTTCTTTCTGACGGACGCCCTAATCTCATTGGCTGCGAAGAGATCCTAAGATACTCGGACTCGACACTGCTAGCGTTACAATTATGCTGTCGGTGTCGATAAAAATATCAGGTAAACAATAATTGGGCAAATATTTCACAATCCTGCCGGATTCAAGAATGTACACTAAACTGAAACATTTCTTTCTGTCTTAGACCCTATATGTTTTTTATTCTTTCATGTTAAGAAAATTAGTCTGCTTTTATGAATTCAGGTTGTTTTCACTTCAGATTGGGCACAACGTGTACAAAAAGGTTTATCTCGTTCCTCGCCGCGTGCCCATTGACACCTCTTAAAGTTTCAGCAAGAAATAAAAGTGCTTTGTTTATACCTGACAAAGTCATCTTTATGGAGAATACGATTTCGTTTCAGTATATTTCGGCTCAATCAATTATGCACTAAGCCATATTCCGCGTCTTCAGGTGCCAGACAGTGTGGCATGTGACGATATCTAAAAAAAGATGATAAAATTTGCCAGATTTATTGAGTTTTCTGCTAAACCGTCGCCTTGATGACGTTATTTTCTCATTATTTGTTGAGTCGTTGGTTGTTAGTTTTTACATAGGTTTTTTCATAAATTATGTGACTTTAAAAAATTGCGCCGCGCGGTAAAATGTGCGCTTCTATTCTTGCAGGTTACTTCCGGGACGTGACTGGATCATACGACAACCTCTTCAGGCTTTGTGGCTCCATCGTCCTTGGAGGAGCCGTCATGTGGATTATCGTACTCATAAAAGAAAACAGCAGAAACTGCAAATGGATATTGGAAAAAACGCGTGTTGAGAAAGTTAACATAGTACACGTCCTAGGCGTCTTACCAAATGGTCACGATCAGTGAGTGTTTGAATGTTCTTGTAGTTAACATTGTTGTTACAAATAACTGTGCTCTCTTTTTTTTTATCAAGATTGTGCAGCGCAAAGTATTGCCCAAGCAATTGGAATTGACGGAATATTAGCCGGCAAAAAAGGGGGGCAAGGCAACTCTCGAAATAAAAGCTGGTGTACAAGTACCTGGAGTTAAAGCATGACATCGCCCAGGATCTCAGAGCAAATTGTGTTCTTAAACGTTCGGAGTGTGTACAGTAGGACCAGAACAACGCAAGAAAATGAACGTGATTGAAAACTGGTTAGGTAATACCCTGGCGACCGCATCTACCATGGACGAAACACTCACGTCTTAGCTCTCCATTTGTCTGTCCCTTATAAGTATTATTTCTGCCTGTCTTTTATTTTGATCCTTTTTTCAGCCAGATAATGTGGGTCGCTAGAGCAGTAAAAAAGTTCAAACATCGTAGCACCTACACCTGAAGTGCGTGAAGGTGTTTCTAAGTATTCGCCGGGATCTCTTCCCTTCAACATTAAGCTCATAAAATCACGTCTGAACTTTGCTAATACTTATACCACAAAATAGCACTGTCTTTGGATTCATGAATAATGCCGTGTACAAATTGTCTGCCCCCCCCCCCCGCCCTTCCCGTGGCAAAACGCTAATTCTAAGCCGAAATGTAGCTTTAGCGGTCTGAACTAGATGCAAAAGTTCTAGAACTAACTGTTAGCTTAACAAATATTTATGTAATTTTTTTTTTAAATTTTTTAATGGCAAATAGACGGCCAACAGTGCTGTAATTTGGCCATTAAGAGAGCCGAATGGCGCAAATTACAGAAAAACTGCCCCCACTTTTTCCTTTAAAGATTAAAAAAAAATCTCCATTAACTTTTGAATAAGACAACGGTTTGCTATGAAAATTTGGCATCTAATTTAAACCGTTAACGCTATTTTTGGTGCAGAATGATGTTCGGCGATGCATAGTTTTTGTAAAAGGTGTAGAGAAAAAAAAACCTTGTAAATATTTTGTGGGGACTCACTGTACAAGTTAAACTACCAAGGCTGTGACGCAGCGTACTGCATAGGCGAAACCGGCCTAAAGCACCGTACCTGATTACAAACCCAAACGGGACAATGCATGCGGAAAGGCCAAACATGAAACTTGTTGACCATTATTGAACGACTGGTCACAATGTCCGCAGCTGGTCACGGCTTGCCAAGCTAATCGTGGCCCTCTCTCCGTTGTGTACGCCGACCTCCGCAAATTGCCTCACCAGTTACCGAGCGATGAGCGGTCATTGGTGTCCTCTATAGATATCGCTAATAATGTTTCCTGTACGTAAAAGGAATGTCAAATTACACTGTTAATATTGACGCGTCAATGTGACGTAGTTTGCTTTAGAATAAATGGTGCCGGCATGTCAAAAAGTTTCTTTTCCTGTATTTGTGACAAAGGAAAGCCACAGCCGTAGTTTCCTCTGAGTACAGAATAAGAGGTAAAATATTAGGTTTATACGACCTGGCGTCGATTATAAAAAAGAGAAGTTATATATATATATATATTCTGTTTTCAGCCCCCCAACACACACACACACATATATATATATATATATATATATATATATATATATATATATATATATATATATATATATATATATATATGGGTGGTTTCATCTCAAATCGTGCAGGCAAAAAGGGTCGAATTTTTAATTTCGATGAAAAAAATATATGTTATGCCGCCGTTTCTAAAACCGCAGTCGACACAAACCGCAAGTTCGTCGGATTTTTTCTTCTCGACTTATGAATTTTTAAAGAGGCCGCGGCGAAAAGCAGTGTTTTTCACACCCGTCGTGGGTCGGATGTTTCGCTTGATCTCCCGCCATGGATTTTCAGTCCACATTATATTATCTTCTTTGAAGCACTCTGTGGACACATTTAAAAGGCTCCAATACCATGAAATAATTTTAGGCCTTTTGCTTTTTTTCTGTAAAAATGTCAAAAACGCCTCCTCGGTCAATTGTTGACGAACTTTGACAATTAATTACTGGCGATCTACTTGGGTTACACCGATATTTTTTATGTCCACGGAGAGCCCAAAACACGCTCTTTCTATTTATTATAAAATGCCTTGGCTGTATAAAATATCCTTTGCGGTACGTTTACGTTAATATTATGCAAAAACCAAAAAGTACCATTTTTGAAATTGATTTTCTCAAAAAACCCATTTTTTTTTTTTTTATTTTTTGTTCAACTGTAGATATGATAGTTCTCTACACGAAAATCAAGCCTAGAAAGTGTATATTTTGTTTGCATGTTTTATATTTAGGCCTCAATATCGGAAAAAGACGTCTTTGTTTTGCAAGACCTAAGTCAGACTTAGCGACCCATGCGTCTCTAAGAATTGTGAAAAAGTTTTCTTGAATTTTCTTCTGCATTTTGTAATCAATTATAAACGGATTTTGTGATATTGAATATTTATGTATGTTTTGATAAGAGCGGGAACCATGAGATACATATCTAACCAAATCAGCAGGCCTAGTAGACTTTCAATAACAGAAAGGCAAAGACGTTGTATTGTTTCGATTTATAAACCTTTCAAAGTAAACTAGCACGACTAGCTATTAGCTGTCATATTACTAAGACAAAGAAAGTCACCACATCGTCGATATATTATATGCAATTCTTTACGAAACCAAACACTGGGGCTTGTTCACCGCACATCGCACAGGTCACCAGGCAATGTCCTTTCACTTCCGTAATACACAAAAGTGGTGACACAGAAACGGTCCGAAACACACAGAGAGTGTGTCATGGAGAGGGGTAGGAAATAAAAATAAATAAATAGGAATTAAATTGCCCAACTCCGATCTTAACGAAAATTGCGTTAAAAAAATAAATAAAGTATTTAGGTTCGAGCGGTGGTAAGGCGATAGGTCCACGCCTGGTGGAGAGTCAGACAAAGAAGTCGACGGCACGTAAAGGTAAAACAAAACAAAAAATCAATAATTTAATAAAGACGGGAAAACTCAGCCACACATAGCAAGAACATAAACCAACTCCCCCGGGCATTCCCTAAACGGGACGCAACCAAATGCGTGCGAACACGCTCTCTACATCACCGCCAGGCCGCTCCGCAATGATGAAATAAACCCAACAACTGAACAGTGCTAACAAACAGTTAGTAAGAAAACATTGAAAAAAAAAAAAAAAAACGTTCAGAAAAATTCGCACCCGAGAAACAAAGTTCAGCGGGGCGAAGAAACACACACGAGTCGGTCCCACGACATTGAAGTCTGGCAGGATGACGGCGTCCACATGATGCTCGAATCTGTTCCTCCCTCTATTACGCACATCACGACGGCTGTGCGGAACAGTGGCTGTACGAAAGAAAGTGAAGAATAGATTCCAGCAGGCGATGCGCGAGAAGGTAACCGAGACTATGCTTCAAGCTTCACATCGGGAGAGGAGCTTTCGAGGTAGTTTCTGCAGTTACTCAAACTTTCTCTTTCCCCTTCCCTTTTTCAAAAGAACACGTCAGCCGGCGCTAACGTTTCATCTCGGGAGAAGCCCACTCTTCACAAACGGTTATACTTGACAAGGAGGCTGACTTCGACCCAACTAGTCTCCGGGCAGAATACAAACACAAGCATATTTACCAGCACGCTCGTTTTAATATCAGTCTCCGGGCTTTGCTGTTTCCAAAGGAGATAACCATTTATAAGGACAGAACGAGCGGGTTGGTGGGGATAATTAAACTTAAACACTCCCTTCTCGTTTTCTTCCTCAAGTTTAATAGATAACCCTTCGGTGCTATCGGATCTCCCCGGAGAGAGAGAGAGAGCACGGCCGTTTCAAGGTAAGGATAGGGCGCTCGAAGCTAGGGCAAACAGGCGGTATCGTTTCACGTATGCACGGATGGCTGGTTTCAAATTTCCCCACATCCCTAAAGAAACCGGCCCATCTTCGTGTGTGCGTCTGCGGGATTTCTGTCCCGCGCCGCCGGTTTTAGCGCGCACGCGGCGTTGTTTTGGCTGGCACAACAGTTGTTGACCGTCGACATTGTAAGGCCGTGGTGTCCTCATCCTTTCAGGCAACGATTCCTTTGCTTTCCCTTGTGCAATACTCTGACAGACTCCTCCTGGGTGGCTGTCACTGTTCGCCGCGTCAACGAAACAATCGTACCATTTCACTCCTCGTGACACAGGGTGCGCTGCTCGCTTTACTGTCACGGGCCGTCCCATCTAACACAACGAGAGCGAAAGGTCGTGGTCATCTGCTGGCTCCGAAAGGGCGGGACGTTCATGCAGGCCAATGAGGGCCCCGAATCAATAAGACGTCTGCCGACTCCTACACGTTAAAAATTTACGACACCTGCTGGTCTGTTAAGAAGTGTTGCTTTCTTTTTTGGAACTCCTCCGATGTAGCTTGCCGCCTATAATAAAATTTAAATAATCAATAAATATATCAGGGTGGAAATACTGTATTTCAGTTTTATGTGGGAACGTTGAAAAAAAGAAAAAAACTATTTCCAAGCTTGTGAAGACGCGCAATTCGCAAGTCCATTTCGAGCCGTAAAAACACGTTTTTGTACGATATTGATGCTTAAATGTAGAACATACAAACAAAATATACACTTTCTAGGCTTGATTTTCGTGTAGAGAACTATCATGTCTACATTTGAACAAAAAATAAAAAAAATAAAAAATGGGTTTTTTGAGAAAATCAATTTCAAAAATGGTACTTTTTGGTTTTTGCATAATATTAACGTAAACGTACCGCAAAGGATATTTTATACAGCCAAGTCATTTTATAATAAATAAAAGAGCGTGTTTTGGGCTCTCCGTGGACATAAAAAATATCGATGTAACCCAAGTAGATCGCCAGTAATTAATTGTCAAAGTTCGTCAACAATTGACCGAGGAGGCGTTTTTGACATTTTTACAGAAAAAAAGCAAAAGGCCTAAAATTATTTCATGGTATTGGAGCCTTTTATATGTGTCCACAGAGTGCTTCAAAAAAGATAATATAATGTGGAATGAAAATCCATGGCGGGAGATCAAGCAAAACATCCGACCCACGACGGGTGTGAAAAACACTGCTTTTCGTCGCGGCCTCTTTAAAAATTCATAAGTCGAGAAGAAAAAATCTGACGAACTTGCGGTTTGTGTCGACTGCGGTTTT